TTGTCATGATAAAATCCCAATTTCATTTGCATGTTCACTGCACATCATAAATGTCAGACGTTTTGGGAAAGCTAACTGTGTCATGAATTGTTTGATGGGTATGACTTAGAAGTTGACGCATGACAAAGTAGACACAATTTATGGATAACAAATGGATTGTCCATAAATTGTGTCTACTTGGTAAACTGTGTCATGTTTATTATCTCCCTTTTATTTCTTAAGTATAATACCACGCTTCTAAACCAACAACAGACTTCCTTCAAACAGAAAGTAAATGTGTTTGGCTTAGATCTTATTTGAAGCTCTCTGCACTTTCATGAGAAAAAATAAAATTGATAAAGTTCTTTAAAATTCATGCCACAATAAAAACTATATGATGTGGCTATGAAATGAAAGGGATAATATTGCAACAACACAGATTTGTACAGGACTCTCAGGGTTGTCATGAGAATGAGACAGATGGATACATGGTGATAGGGTGGAATATGACAAAAATATAGCCTTTGGTATGTCTTTACAGTATATACAGACATAGAATCTCCAGGAATGGATAGATAATGGCAATGACGACGGCTTGATGCTGCAATCTATTTTACATAAGGCACTTGTGAGTGTGGATACTTGTAGTTCTACAGATTCACTATAACTCGGTTTGATTAACTTCATGTCTACAACATAAAATCTACAAAGGACAACCTAAAAGTACATTATGCTGGGTTTTGCCTGTGTTGAGATCTGGACTTGGATGGGGAATTCAATTCAAAAGAAAAAAGAAATTTTGTGTCTTTTGAGAAGTGCAAGATCATTTATAATTGAGTAGTGAGTCGAGTTTTACACTGCCTTTAGCAATATTCCAGCATCAGCATCATCATCATGATGTGGACACCAGGTCGAGGCAACACACACTGCATCCTAGTGGGACATCGACCCTGGGCTGTCGACGAGCAATTGCCACTTGGCTATTCCACATCCCTTCTCAGTGAGCGACTGAGTTAATGCTTTATGTCACATCGGCAATATTTCAGCCATTTCGTGACGATCATCCCTTCTCAGTGAGTGAGTGAATATGGTTTTACGCCGCTTTTAGCAATATTCCAGCAATATCACGGCGGGGGACACCATAAATGGGCTTCACACATTGTACCCATGTCGGGAATCGAACCCGGGTCTTCGGCGTGACGAGCGAAAGCTTTAACCACTAGGCTACCTGACCGCCCCTTCATCCCTTCTCAACTTGAAGTACAGTTAAATGAAAATTAGAAACAAGTGGCCTTGAAATTGTCAAGCATGCCATTATTAATATTACTGATTACAGGCAATATATCAGCAACTATGTAACAAACCAGCATTCAACTGAATCGTTACATGCTTTGTCACAAGTTGAAGTAAAAAATAGGCATCCTTGAATTTAAGTACTTGTCACTAGTTACAGGATTACATTATTCTGCCCTTACATTTTGACAGTAATGTGACAGCCAATACAAGTAAAGGAACACATTTGTGACGTGGAGTTTAATCGTAACACTGAGCATGTTATTGACCCACTACTTAAAAATGCCAGGCTTGGCAATAGACCATGACCATTGCAAAAATGTTAATGGTGGTAAAAGACTTTATAAGACTAAAAAAAATAATAGGGTTGGTTCTCAGGCACCGCCCACATCATCAGAAATTTCGCAGCACATTTCGTTTTTATTTCCATTTTTTAAAAACAAACACAAAAATCCTTTAATATTCCATGTCCTACAGTAGTCAAACACTGTATTCCAGTATTTTACTCATCAAGGAATACATTTATGTAGGGAGGCCCTTACCCAGGTTGATGGTACACAACTGTTGACTTGGTTGCACAACAGTTTATTTGGGTACATACTAGTTTGAACAACCAAAAAACAAAAAACAAAAAACAAAAGCAGAAAAAAAAGGATACCCCCCCCCCCACCCACACACACTATATTTTCGAAAGCCATTGCCTGAGAACCAATTCTTTTATTTTTTTTAAGCCTAAAGTATGCCATTTTGTATTTTCAAACTGTAATATCAACAAACATAAAAATATACGCATGAGATGTAACAGACCCAAAGCATAAAGCCAAATGAGGACACTAAACAGACTGGCTTTGCAAATGGATTTTTACACAATTTACGTTACTATACTATATCGATAATTACTTGTAAAGACCAGAGACATAACAGTACAATAAACAGCACTGTCTTCACAAATGGACTTTTTACACTATATATTGATAATTACTTTTAGATGAGAGTAAAAACATTTCTGAGATACACAAAATTGTTTAACATTTGCAAAATTCTCCAACATATCAATGAAAATGGACAACAAAAACAAGCAAAGCCATCTTCTGATCATCAACACCTGACTGCTACGGTTTAACATTGTAAAAGACAGTGACATACTTTTGATCAAATGTCTCTTCATCAATGTATAAGGCTAAAAAAAAAGAGTCTTGTTTCTCAGGCACTGCCCACATCATCATAAAGTTCGCTGCACATTTTGTATTAATTTCCATTTAAAAGAAAAAGAAAAAAAAAGAAGTCCTTAAATATTCCAAGTCCTATGGTAGTCAAATACTGTGTTCCAGTATTTTACTTATCAAGGAATACATTTATGTAGGGAGGCCCTTTCCCAGGTTGATTGTAAACAACTGATTATTTGGTTATATACTAGTGCGAACAAAAAAAAAAGAAACAAAAAGACACCGCCCGCCCGCACTATATTTTCAAAAGCCATTGCCTGAGAACCAACTCTTTAATTTTTTTAAGCCTAACTTGTTCAGAAAGGCAATGGTCAGTCGAGAGTAGCTTAAAACTGAATGTTGTTCAATTGATGAACCCAAATACAGGCTTCAAGGATGTTTGCGTGTCAGTGTGTGCGTGAGTCTGTTAACTGCTAGCACAAGTCCAGGCATTTCACCATGGCTGACACCCAGTGCACTAGATCGGGAACTGAACATGGGTGTTTGAGTGGTAAAACCAACACTGGGTTCCTCCTATTATAAGACTAAAAGAGGTTATTACCCAATTGTTTCACATTATTATAGTTAATTATTCATGCCATGAAAGATTGACAATAGTAATAGGAAAGATTTGAGTGGTCCTAACTATTTGAGTAGTATACTTTCCTGCTCGGCAACAGTTTGTGTGAATATGTTCAACAACTGAATGGGTAAAGAAAAGCATGTGTAGATACAGTGTTCCCCTGCTACAACGCTACCTTGGGGGGTCAAAATAATTGAGCGTTATAGACAATCAGCGGTTTAGCCGAGGTGGAGTCCTAGAGGGTAGATGACCAACACAACAGTAAATGGTCAACCATGGCATCGGCATCGAGAGTGAAGGCCTTATGATGCACAGTACCATACTGACTAGAGAGTACAACATTCAAATCTCATCTTAATCAACACAAGCTGCAATGTTTATAAAATCATAGATGACAAGTATTCCAATGTGAGAAATTAACAATGTGTTATTAACAAGACATCACAAATGTCTACCTCAATCATTGGCTGTGTTAATTTGACTTTGTTCAGTTTTGATCATTGGCCAGTATAATTTGAACATTGGCCATCTTAATTTGATCACTGACCATTTAATCATGATCATTGGCCATTTTGATTTGATCATTGGCTGTATCTTAAAAGAGATGTTAAAACAGCATAAACATTTTATAGTTAGAACATTGCTTTCAATATCTGAAATGTTAATACAAGTACAGTGTTCGACATAATAAGCGCCCCGCTCTAATAAGCGCCCACGGCGATATTTGCTAATATATTGGCTAGTGAGCAATCCCAATTAGCACCCTTTCTGATTGATCAATGTACACAAGACTTATTTATCCGCACATAATACGCACTCGTGTGTTATATGCATCGTTTATTATGGGGAATTAAATTCTGGAAAAATATATCTGTCGTACATAAACATTTCAGGCTGTCAGCATACACCACGAAATTTATCTTTCAACTCTGTTTTTCCCCCACCAAAATAATATTCTAATAAGAGCCCCCTATTTCTAATTTTGAGAGCGCCCAGGGTGCTTATTACGTCGAATTCAGTATTAATATTTAGACATCTGATCATTTTTGTAAACAATTCTATAATAGTGATGAGGGCTAATAATATGTAAATATTAACAAATAGAAACTGGCAAATATTTAAGCATGAATACTTTTTCTATGTTAGCTTTCTTAACACTTCAAGGTGCCATTATTGAGCATTATAGGACATAACAAATCCATATTCAAATACTGACATTTAAACAACCATAAAAGGAAACAAATGAACTAAATGGAGAAAAAACATTTGAAGCACAAATACAGAGTAAAAATACTATGTGTGATAACCGTGTATAGTTCTTTCTCCAAAATGATCACAATATTTGCAAAAAATTGAAAAATTGAAACTGAGCACAGAAGCTGAACATCTTATTGGATGAGAAAATAGTATTTCATATACATAGAACACACTGTGTAAAAACGGAAAATTTCCCCATTAATATTTTATGAAGTATCGTATTAAAATCCAGTGTAGACACACTGAATATCAAAGTAATAAAAAACAGGCCAAAATATTCTATTGTTTTCAAAATATTTGGAGGTTTTGAAGATTTCTCTCACACAGAAATTGTTTCAAAATATAGAGAAGCTGGTATAATAAGCTCATTATGAAGAGCATAATCGATTAGAAAATTTGAAATACATAGGTATGCATAGACATATGACAGCAGCAAGCGATTTTAATGCTTAATGACACTTTTTATTTAAACCATACCAAAGCATGTCAGCCAATGTGAGAGGAAAACCCTCTTTGGTGAAACTGGAGCATGGGTACAGCAGGGTATGAAACTCCCAAAAAATTCAGCCAGACCACAGGACTGGCTAGCTGAAATACTTGCCAGCCCTGACCAAAACCTGCCATATGTTTCTCAGGATAATTTAATCAAAAATATGAAAACTGATTGCTTGTAAGCATAAGCGCATCGCTAAGTGTTAGGTTGTCTAAAAGCTAACAGGGTTTCTTTTTGGTTTCATTTTATCATTCATCTTTACATGTGAATTAATGCTTATCATCGAGAAATATTTAGAATATTTTCACCTATGAAATATAACCCAACTGTCGGGCAGAGGGATTTGATAATCTGACAGCCCGAGTCATCCGACAGCCGTCTCGGACGGTCGGGCAGGCAGGTATTTCGAACGCTGGGGTATAGTTCTGACTGCACGGATCATAATGGGGAGACTCTAGGATTGGACCCATGGGTAGGACATGGCCAAGGGGGGCAACTCTGCGCAACATAATTGTAGTAACTTCGGCCAGTGGGTCACCCACAGGGCTGGAAGAATGTAACAATATTTTATTTACAATCAGGCAATACACACTTCCATTATTTTCACACTAAGAAAAACAATGGCGACAAGAAGAAAGCCAGTTTGACAGAAGGGAACCGAGCCTTTTCCTTGTATATCTTGGTAGCCACAGCTCAGATATGAGGTAATATACACATTGGTTAGGTCTGTCTAGAATACAGGTATGTACAGAACATGGTCAGCAAGGATGATTTGTTTTAAACACAGAGAAATACTGGACTAAATATAACAGCTTGGTGCTGGAATCTTCAACAAATGGGTTAATGTAAGGGTATCTGATAAAACACAGTAAGTATGGTCAAATGTGCACTTACAGCACACAACTGCTGATACTGCCATTTTGAAACAGATTGCCGAGAAGCAAACAATACTTTGTATCAATGTGGCATCCTCACTAACACGAGCTTACTTGGGGGAACATCAAAAAGTAGGATTGTGTCTCACTTCCTTATGTGCGGGATTCAGTGTCTACACTAATGTCACAACAAAGTGATTATTTGTTCTTTGGTGTTTTCCCCAAAGGGGATATATTCAGGGATGAGAATGGATATTGAGAATGGATATTTCCTTTTCAGCTGGAACATCTTTGCAATGGAACGTGGTCCATAATGTGGGGGTATTTATGGGGAAAGCCATTAGAAATTTAACAAATTTGTGGTCACAAAAAATCGCGGATCCATGGATTCTCATCCCTGTATATCAGGAAGACAGCTACTTTTTTCTTTCAGGACTTAACGTTTATTGCTGACAATGACTGACTTATTTCATATTCTCTTTTGTCCTGCAATTATTCTCTACACTACTACAATCAAAAAGATCAAGCTTTCTTTATTTTTAGGTTTGATATTGTCTCCTTTATCCTCAGCAAGCAGGAACCTTCATGATATTGTATACCAAGTGAAGACACACCTACTTCAATGTAGAAAAATACTTTATTTGAGCAGTAAAAAGTTTCTTACCAGGGTTCGTCGTCCATCGGGGTGTACATAAAGGGTTATGCGATAATCGTTTGTTTTGAAACACTTTTTGTGTCAAATGTTTTGCAAATTTGTCAATGGCATATCTCCATGCAAAAAATATCAAGAGTAAGGTATCAGCCAAAGTGGCACCAAAACTTCATTTACACATGATTTCATATGGAAATAATGAAGCATTGTGTTTCTTTAATGTTAAACAGAAGCGAGGAAGTAATATTTATGCATTTACAATGGAAGAACTGATGTATTGAATGTACAAAAGTTATTGGCACACAGAGATCAATCTAACACAAAGAATATGGAAAATACATCTACAGATTTGGAATGATACCTAAATTTGTAGTAAAATAAACAAATATATATCTCCAAATACAGATGACAACAAACATATGTACATAATAACAAATCTGAAACGTTTTAAACAACATTGGACCCAGTGTATAATATGGTATGGTAATTCAAAAACAGATATTTCTGTGAAAACTGATCAAAGAACTGGACATGCAATGATTTCTTACAGATTACACACCTGCAGTTTCAAAATCAGTTATGTTCTGTGTGATTTGGAGAGCCCACAGGGAATTTACCTTGTGTTTCTCTATTCATACTTTTTCCACAAAATATCCTCTGAAAACATTCAAAAGTATTTTAAGCCTGTGCAGGCCTCTAGTGCCCTTGTTAAAACTGCTGTGAATGAGACTGTCTGAATATATCCAGACAGGATAGTCTACTATGAAGGGCTATAACAGCTACCCAGATACAGTATATATCTCTGTACAAAGGTGATGTGTATGACGGCAGGTTACGAACAGGTCTTCATCATACTAAAAATCTCATCAACAGATTGTGCTGGAAAAGAAACTACCATACTTCTACCAATCACGACTATCAAGATATGAATTTCTGAACAAATCATTTATTCTTTGGTATGATGAATCAGGCTGACAGCATAATGCCATCGTTAAAGAAAGTCTGTGGAAGCCGAATCTGAAATCACTGACCACAGTTGGAAGACTAAATTCAAGTCAAAGTAAACAAAATTTATGCTAACAACTTCAATAATTACTGTAAAGGTGACGTTTCGGAATGGATCCTTATACCTTTATCAAGCAAGACATATCTTGGAATCTATATAAAATCATAAGGCCTATGTGACTTTGTACTTCATACAAATCATATTCTTGAAAGTTTACCAAATTGTATAACTATTTGTACACTATACAGAACTGTAGCTTTCATAATCAGGACTATTCTCCACACCATTGTCTCAATCATTTGCCCTTGTATGGTGTGGAAAGATTAGACAGAGTTATCTCCCTTTAATATCACAGTTGGTTGTTGCTATTCACAGACTTCATTGGACCCAGAGTGATGTTTGCTGCCTTGTAGCACCTTGTATGTAGTTGACCAATCAGCAGCTGCCTTATATCACGTTATCCTCTCTTCTGACCAATCAGTATCATGAAGAGATGTCTTTACATTCTCTGAATGTTGGGAAGAGGTAACAATGGAGTGATCGGAATCTGAAAACAAAATGGTTTGGTTGTTTTTTTCAGGTTCTGTGAAAGCACACGAGAAAAGGTATTTTAACAAGTTCTGCACAGATTTTTATGCACTTCCATCACAACAAAACACAATTTCAATTTCATCATTTTTTGTATGAATAAAGATTTCCTTCAAATGTTGATTATTAAAGTGAATAGTATATATATATCAGTGAACAAGAGTGAGTGAGTGAGTGAGTGAGTGAGTGAGTGAGTGAGTGAGTGAGTGAGTGAGTGTTGTTTGTTGTTTAACGCTGCACTCAGCCATCTTCCAACTATATGACAGCAGTCTCTAAATAATCGAGTCTGGACCAGACTATCCAGTGATTGACATCATGAGCATCGATCCATGCAATTGGGATACGATGACATGCATCAACCAAGTCAGCGAGCCTGACCACCTGATCCCGTTAGTCGCCTCTTATGCCTAGCATAGTCGCTTTTTACGGCAAGCATGGGTTGCTGAAGACCTAGTCTACACCAGGGCCCTCTTGCACAAAGCGATCTTAGCCCTATGTTGAAAGTAACTCCCATAGTCTAACATAGACTTAAGACAGTCGTAGCGCTAAGATCGCTTTGTGCAAGTGGGCCCAGATCTTCAAGTGATTGAGTGAGTGAGTGAGTGAGTGAGTGAGTGAGTGAGTGAGTGAGTGAGTGAGTGAGTGAGTGGGGTTTAACAGCTTTGAACAGCATTTCAGTTTTATTTCAGCTTGTTGTTAAATGTGGGAAGTCATCAATGCCTGACCATTTGGTGAAACCCAGTAGCATATATCTGATGCAGACAAGGCAAGGATCTGACTGGACCAAGGATTGAAACCCTCAATCAGTGGATGATGGCAGAACCTAGACCACTAGGCCACCCATGCCCCCTACTTCACAGTGAATAAATACACTGAAAGTAAGGTTCTGCTCACCTGGTTGGATCTTCCTGGTCACTGAGACCAGGGACGTTGACGACGTTCATCTTGCCGCTGTACTGGGAGTAGCTGAAGGTGATCTGCAACATAACATAACTACATGATTGTTAACTGTATATTTGCTTTATGTAAGTAAACTAGATGCAGTGCTTCAGATTTGTTATCACCTACCAGTGTGTGGGTTTGTGAACTACTAGTCCGGACTAATGCTGGTTTCATAATACTAGCCCACTGAAATACCATGCTGCAGTGAGTACCCCACTCAGACACAGTATACTGACTCCGAACAGTCTTTGTTTCATCCCCTTAATTCAGAGCGCCAGGCACGGTATAAAAAAATATCATCTTTTAATGTCCTTTGGTTATGATACGGCCTGGGATCGAACTATCAACCAACAATCTGTGGGCATGTAATAGTATGTGAGCAAAATGCTTGGGTCAAAAATTCTATTATATCTCCATGTATTGGTTTAGTGAAGGGATGCCACGTATAGGCCTGTGATAAAGGCCAGGTATTGGTCAGTGATGGAGGCCAAGTATTGGTCAGTGATGGAGGCCAAGTATTTGTCAGTGATGGAGGCCAGGTATAGGTTAGTGATGGAGGCCAGGTATTAGTCAGTGATGGAGGCCAGGTATTGATCAGTGATGGAGGCCAAGTATTGGTCAGTGATGGAGGCCAGGTATTGGTCAGTGATGGAGGCCAAGTATTGGTCAGTGATGGAGGCCAAGTATTTGTCAGTGATGGAGGCCAGGTATAGGTTAGTGATGGAGGCCATGTATTGGTCAGTGATGGAGGCCAGGTATTGATCAGTGATGGAGGCCAAGTATTGGTCAGTGATGGAGGCCAGGTATTGGTCAGTGATGGAGGCCAGGTATTGCTTAGTAAAGGAGGCCAGGTATTGGTTAGAGATGGAGGCCAGGTATTGGTCAGTGATGGAGGTCAAGTATTGGTTAGTGATTGAGGCCAGGTATTGTTTAGTGATGGAGGCCAGGTATTGGTTAGTAGGGTCTGTGATGGAGGCCATGGCCTATTATGCAGTGGATACCTTCGTGATTAAAAAAATATCACTCACCTGTTTGAGTAGGTCATTTGATCTGATGAGCCACAGAGCCTCCAGGTGAGAATGGAAACCATCGATTACAGTCAGGTCCTTCTTTAGTATATAGTCTGTAACATAAGGATCAAGTCTGTAACAGGGATCACACAAACATGTTTCTTCAGTTCTTCTGTAACAAAGAATCACGCTACTGAATGTCTCTAGCTTATGCTTGAAGGAAGAACTATTATCATGCTCAAACTGCCATGTCAATGTTGCATATTACTGCCATGTCAATGTTGCATGTAACTGCCATGTCAATGTTGCATGTAACTGCCATGTCAATGTTGCATGTTACTGTCATGTCAATGTTGCATGTTATTGTCATGTCAATGTTGCATGTTACTGTCATGTCAATGTTGCATATTACTGTCATGTCAATGTTGCATGTTACTGTCATGTCAATGTTGTATATTACTGTCATGTCAATGTTGCATGTTACTGTCATGTCAATGTTGTATGTTACTGCCATGTCAATGTTGCATATTACTGTCATGTCAATGTTGTATATTACTGCCATGTCAATGTTGCATATTACTGTCATGTCAATGTTGTATATTACTGTCATGTCAATGTTGTATATTACTGTCATGTCAATGTTGCATGTTACTGTCATGTCAATGTTGCATGTTACTGTCATGTAAATGTTGCATGTTACTGTCATGTCAATGTTGCATGTTACTGCCATGTCAATGTTGCATGTTACTGACATGTCAAATAAAAACTTGGAAATGGATTCATAAAAAAAATGTGCATCTACTGTGATGCAGAAAATTTGTATGCATGATTAGGAATGAATGCTATTTCATATGTGGTACACATGCCACTTCAAGTTATTTTCCTTACATAATCCTTTACAAAGTACAATACACATGCATGCTTTGTGATCTTCTAGTGCTAGCAAGTTTCATGTCAGTTGGGGTATTTGTGTGGATGATGTTCTCTGGGGCAAGTTAGTGTGTCTTCAACTTCATCAAACACTGGGAATAATGAAGAAAAAAGCTGTTTTATTTTTATCAACATCATTAGATTCAATTTTTGACACTTCTCTGGGCCCCCCTTCTGATGCTTAGGACCCTCATTTTTTAACCTGGATCCCTACAATGAAAGGCTGCGAGTCTCCTGGACCCTCAAAATTAATAATCTATTAATAAACATTCCTGATTCAAGTCAACAGAGAGGGTTAACGTCAAACTTGAATTAAATTGTTGGCCTCCTCAATACAAGATTTCCATGACTGATACAAAAACTTGTTTAGAACGAAAAATATTCACACCATGATTAGTCCATAGAGATGTAACTTTGATGCCATTAACCAGTTCTTGCAATCAATATTAATGCAGCACACAGCATTTGTTTCATGGCGACATCAGCCTCTCAATCACCGTTTGTTTTAGCGTTTGTTTCTTCTATCAGTGACCTGTTACAGTATGGTCCATCACCAGCAACCTGAAGTCTCAAGTAATAGTTTCCTAGGCATTATTTCAAACTGGAGAGTCCTGTTATGATTGCCTTAAAGTCTATTACATTATCTGACCAAAATAATTCCCCAAACTCAATCAGTCAGACACATTATGTGGTATATAGTTTGTAGGTGACATTAATTAACACTCTTTCAAAGTGACTGTGGTATATGGGCAAACAAAACACAATTGTGGTTGGCATAAGTTTTGACAAAATTGGCAATAAACAAGTCACTTAGAAAGAATAAATGCTATAACATTTGCAGTTACCTAGCACCTCATTTTGCACATAATCTCATGTTTTGTTGACTTCAACATGGCCACGCCATAAAGTTTGTCTTGAATGTTTCCGAACAACTAAAAGGTGTGTCCCCAGAAAATAAAGCATTTTTCTTCATTCCACCAATGCTTTGAACTCTTTGAAAATATCTTTAATCTCAGTACAGCTGTGAAAGGAGGATGAAAGATTTTCAAAGCCTTATGCAATATTTTTAACACACTATGAAGCAGCAGTCTCATTTCTCAACTCTAGAGCTGTACAAGTCTTCAGCCTTCTTTTTACAATGAGCATGTTACAATGGTTGTCGGATTACTGCTTTGGGAGAAGAGATAGTCATTCCCCATAAACCCAATCCTTTTTAAGTCCAGTTTTATTTCCAGCATCAAACAAACCCGTTTTGATGTAGACCTTGAAGTGACACAAAATGACTTTGTCTAACATTTCCACCTCAACAAATAATCAATAACAGGATCCTTTATGAGGCCACTACAGATGGAATTACTGGCTCCTCGGCTTTCGGAGTTTTTATCGAAAGTTGGCGGAGGATAACTTACAACATGCAGAACTTAGTTTTGACGATTTCTCTCTGTAACCCCATGATACAGATACATTTGACTCATGAACTATTGATGACTTCATGAAATGGGTTCAGTTCCGTATCTTGTGAGACATTGCCATGATAATGCTGTGGAAGAGAATTCTGTGCAGAATAGCATATTATAAAATGTTAAAGAGTGATTAACAGGGTCAGAACAAACCTCAAAGATTCAGCCTGGGTAAAATAGAGTGACCTCGTAATGCTAAAACAATGGGGAAATTTGTACCAGCAGCAGAAATTGGCACTCGTCCTGTAGTCCTTGCCAAACTGCCCAATAGTTAAGGTATCATAAGGACTAGTTGAAATTTGCCGTTTTAAAGGGTTTGTACTATTATCATGACTAATGGACTAAAAATGTTAGTTTCTATTGCTGACCAGCCTGCAGGAATTTGTACTAGCACCGGGCTAGTGTTAAGTTCTAACCATGGATTAAACATGATTAGACATTACTGCTTCCCATAAGCATATTTTAATCTCATATGTTGGCATAATAGAAACAAAAGCTGAATATGTAGAGGCGTTTATCACTTGGGATCCCACTAGCACAGCCTTGTGATGACTAATGTCTGGTCAACAGTATGTCAGTTATTTCCTGGCATATCAGCTTAATGTGCGACAGAATGATGTAGGTTCAAGACTTTGACCACTTTCTTCAAACCTGCAAACATGGGTATGGTGCCGACAAACCATGAATCATAATTAGGGTTGAATTAAGGTTTTGATCCCATAATTATAGAATTCTAGCTGCCAACGGAATGGACGCCCATCTGCACAACATATAGCAGCTACATTGACGACCGTCCCACTCCCTATCATGGTATCACCATAGTTACTTTACTAAACCTCCTGCTCTAATATGTGCCAACTGAACAACTTCTCGACCAATCTGCAAGCAACCTTCATAAGTGTCCCTACAAAGATATTTCTTGTGTACATTACACATTTTACAGAAAACAGCAGCGTAAAAGGAATATATAGCTGCCATAATAAAAATGTTTTTGTTTCATCAACATTTGAACGTAGTTTGTTCACTTCCACTCGATCTCTGTAGAGAAATATAACATGTGTATAGCAGTAATGAGCACCCTATTGTTATTTTTCTGCCGCCAACAGTGTTTATTACAGTGAATATGGTATTGAACTCAGAATAGAAAATATGCACTTGGGAGCCATGAGGCAAACTCTGATTACACATATATTGCAATAGAGGACTAATAGTAATAGTATCAATAATGATACACAATCTGCTTTGGGGCAGTGTTGTTGCTCAGTCGCCTGAGAAAGTTACAAATCTATTGTTGCCTAAAGGATATTGAGTTCCTCAAGTCAATAACATGTCATCATATCTCATCATCTGTACGTACACAATTTCTAAATAATCCCATCCTTTATCCAATGTGTATCTCCAACAATTCAAAAACCTGTTTATTTCTTACGGCTCCAAAGGAATGTTCACATTTCTATACAGCATTGAATAAAGTCTATTCACATAACAAACTTGTGGCACAGAACACACTCCTCCCATCCTTGTGTCGTGGTCCGCTGAGTCACCCAGGATCAGCTTTCCTGTTTCTCAATAGGCGCATACAGCATGACCTTCAGCTCACCAGGTCAACTGTTCCGCACGACTAAACTGCCAGTCTCATTTGAAAGCATCTTTTTTATAAGGTACACATGCGAGGGCTCCCATGTCAAATAGTTAATGTAGGAATTCTCAATAGAGGCTGACGGCATCATATTATTGTATATTTTTATGGCTTAGTTAATTGGTCTGATGCATTCAGGTGTCAAAAGCACACTTGCCTTGACATACGCTTGGCACAAAAGACTATATGTTCTGATGGAGCATGGATATTTTATGTGGATATATGGGCTTGCTGGTGTCAGCCACTGACAACTCAGACTGCAACTATCAAACACCTTGTTTTATATAACTTCATGTCAAGACTGTTGAACCTTACAACTTGATTTAGAAACCTAATTGTAACAGTTCAAACTATGTAGTACTGGGTGCCGTTGTACAAGGCAATCTAAACGCTAAGGTGATCGCAACTCCCATACCTTACGACAATCATAGCACTAAGGTTGTTTTGTACAATGACACCCTGATCTCAAACGTTCAATCATGTTTGTTTTAGCTTGTTTTAAGGTGCTGCAATAAAATGAATTTCATATATTACAGTAACTACTTCATTTGAACATGACTACAACGGTCGTCAACAGTGTAGAAAATGTCAACTTGAAAAGGATCTAAATGTAGCCAATGGTGGAGTGGCTATTCTCACTCCTACAGTGCTGCACTCTCTACAGTCAAGGACGTGGAACCTGCTTCCACACTTCACTATTAAGTAGGCAGTTAGAAATCTCATATTCCTTGACACCTTGTAAGTACTTGACTATTGAGCACAAGTGGAGGAGAGAAGAACAATACGTAACCTTCTTTGCAAGAAAAAAATATCTTACTGAATAAACAAACAAAAAATCATTAGGATTTTCTTCTTAAATTGACAGATTTGACATTGTGATTATTCGCAGCATGTGTTTGAACACAACTCTTCAGGGAATGTTCAAGCTAGATTTATGTCAAGGATTCATGTCCCATAGTCAATCTGCATCCTACTTTTACTGCAGCCAGTACAACACAAGATACCAGGAACAATCTAACACCATAACATTATTTGTCTATTTATATGCGACTAGACTCCAAACACGAATCAAGCCCAGGGCAAC